TTTCAAGCGGCAATATGCTTTACAATTAACAAACACCTCGTATAACTCCAGCTTATGCTATGTCTGTGTCAGTAATATGAATAACTTTACTAGGCAAGGGCCTGTAATTTTGCAAAAGAAATGCATCCATGAATCTCCCAGCATGTTACCCGATAAGGCAACTTCTTCCAAATCACAAACATTTCAAGCTGCTTGCCTAAATTTCAGTTTAAAAGAGGATCATACGCTGATTGTATATTAATAGGCACATCCCAACAATCACACGCTTCGCTGCGTGCGTTATTACTATATAAGCAACTGAATACAATCATGTCGGTTATGCTGGGACAAGATTCTTAACGGTCAGACAAAATATCAGAACCATTATGTTCAGGCTGCTAGCATAAAATTTTTCTGTTATGACAATAACAGTCGTGTTTTGACCTGTTGTTTAAATGCGCAATATAAAGTCAGGATATCCATCCTACTGGCGAAGAAAATGAAGGATTGTAAGCGACTCTTGTTCCCTTTCTGTAGCATCGTGCGAAGATATAAAAATAATGCTGTATCAGTGGTTATATGTCTACATAATGCAGTTCTAATACACCATATTAAACCTGTCAAAAAGCACTTGACGCATCTTTGACGAGAAAAACGAGAAACCACATGTCGATAGGTGTAAAACCACATCAGATGCATCTGTGAAGTCGCGGAATGTTTAAATTGTCCCTACAAGTCTTTAAAAAATCGTATGGGATTACGCATTGCACAGATATCATATCCTGGTGAAAAGATCCCTAGATTTAAAGGAACTTACTTTCCTCAGTGCCAGATCGACTTCCTTCTTTAATTCTTCCTTACTCAAATATTCGAAGTTATCCAATCGTAATGGCATCTTATTTTGTAGCTGGGAGATAATTGTCTGTTGTTTCGCGATTATTTCATTCGAAGGCAGCTGTCCATCCCCTGACTAGAAAAATCTAGGCGTAGCGGACAAAATACAAAAACAGTTAGAAAGCTACCTCATAGGCGAACCGCTCCAAATCCTCCAGCTGCTCTTTCAACTGCCGAATCAGATGACGTTGCTTTTCCCGTTGTCGCTGGAAGATGTCTTCCTGTTCGTCGGAAATTGGGCCCTAAACGATTATAAAATAACTTCAATATTCCATTTACTAGAAATTACTTAAATAGAAGAATTTACAACTCCGCCATGGCCGGTCCCAAGCCCGGATGAGAAAGGAGGAGGGTTGGAGACCGTGGCAAGTCT